GTTTAAAATGTTCTTTAATGTATTGGCTTGGGTTAAGTGCATAATCAACCACATCATTAACTGTTATATCTTTTTCTTTGCTTATAACTTCTATAAACATGTCTATTTGATTTTGCTTATGATTCTCTATGGCATCATCAATATAATGTCTAAGTGTCCTTAGATTTCCTAGGGAAACCATAGATAAGCCTTTCGGATACGCTTCATCTGGCGCATCCGCTAAATCATTCAAAACCTCATGATATCTAACTTTGCGGGGATCAGTCTAACAGTTCATTGATTTATTTTGTGTGTGCCTATGCTCATTCATTTACAAAAAGTGCATCCTTATAAAACAAGAAAATAATTACAATAAAAGCAATAATAACAATAATAATTTGAGTCATGTTAATATTTCATCCTTGTAATTGTTCTTCAAAATGTTTTAAAACAACTAATTTTAGTATTTGACTTGATATGCATTTATACAAATCAATAATTCATAGAATTTTTGATGGAATTCACATATTTCATAGTAGAACAATTTTTTAACGATACTATTATTCCAGTAGCCTTATAGAATTTAAAATCAGTTTGGCATGAACATAATGTTTCTGAAAAACAAACCATAATCCAATACCTTTGAATTTAAGTTCATAATCAAAACCATTCTTTTCACATATCTTTTTGAATATTTCAATATACATTTCGTTTCTATATTCTTTGATATATGCCCATTCAGTATCATTTTTAGTATATGTTACTGTAGCTGGCTGATTTTGTTCGTGTGCCATTCTGCAAAGATGAATCACATAATTCATATTGCTAGTACTTTGAGTAGGTGCAATAAAAGGATATTTTTTTAGTAATTCATGATCTTGTCATAGTGAATCCTTGATTTCAATATTCAAATTAAAAAACTGTAAAGGAGAATCTTTAGTCCATTTAGCCGGGACAAAACCACCACGCTGTTTAAATTCGCGCTTTTCCTTCCTGTAGTATTCCCAGTAGGCCGCAACGGGATCCGCTTGTCTATACTGGATTGGCATGGCTTGCGCGGGTAGGGTAGCGGGAACAAGCGGGATATTATGGGGAGCATCGAGGAGCGGCTTCCAATAGCAACATAGAGCTGCAGCATGATTTTACCAAATCTATATTTGTACTCCATGCAAAGAGCATAAGCATGTTGTATGTAGCCAGTAATAATTATGAACTGATTCCCTTACCCATTTAGCACACGGATGATTTACGTGTGACTCTAAATAAAGTTTTTTAGCGGTCAATATAGGGGTATTTAACCTTGTTTTGATAGTGTCGCACGGTAGGACGTGAATCACGCGCTTTTTACGTAGCTTTACACTTTTATACGTGCGGGTATCCGTGGGATTCCTTCAGGGTTCCACTTGCAAACCTTAATAGATGGAATGTAAACCGTAGTTGGTTCACCATCTAGAACCCGCTTACATGTGCAAAGTAGCTGAACACTTTCAAAGGCATTTTTACAACATGTTTGTCGCTTGAAGCATGCCGCAACATGTGCATTTGATTAAGCTAAAAAATATTCATGTCATATCACTTAAATAGTTTAACTGGTTCGCCTGTATAACCTTGCTCAACCATTGCAACATGTAAAGCAACCTCTAGGTCAAACACTAGGGAATCAATAGGTAAAGGTGTAACAGCTGTTCTAATTGGGTTTTTAAGATTTTAGTATTAAACATATCGCCATACAAATCTATTATTAGCTACATGCTTAGTATCAAAACACAGGTTAAAATTACTTACTTTAATCACAACATCCACCACTACATACAAAATTATAATAATTAACTTAATGTCAAGGGCTAGTATCCTAACCCTTTGCATTAAACTAATCAAGATCAATATTGTTACTAATAGCCCATAGGCTAAATTAGTAAGATTAGTAACATCTTCTATACTTAACTTTTCTTGTTCATTTTAATATAGATCAAAGTTCACTATCATCAATATCTTTCATTGCCTCTTTAAGGTAGCCGCTCAACATATTGTTAAGCTGGCTTGAAATGATAACTGTGAAATAAATAAATCAACTGCTTTCATAATGTTTGTACACAATATCTATACGGTGACTTGAGCTAGGATTACTAGTAATTAGGTGTTTAGCTAAACCTTCAATTTGATCAATATCTTCAATATCTACATATCCTTCACCATTGCGACCATTAACAGCTAACATTGTGTGGAGTACATCAACAATGTAACCGTGTGATCTAGGGTATCCGCTAAGGCCGTTAGGTTTACCAGGGAGTTAGGCGGAAAATTTTACTTTTTGGTGTCCAATTCATATTAAACCTCATTCATTGATTAATCTATCATATAAATTAGGTCATGAGCGTGACGACACTCAAAACCGTAGATAGTGGATCCTAACACAAGGCCGCTTTTTACCACGTCCTCACAGGCCGCAAAGGTATCAGGTGTGTAGATGTATTTATTGCTGAATCCTATTAGAACGTTTCGGATTCGTCGAGGATCACCGGGTATCTCACGTTTGAATGTGGTTCATACCAGTAAGCCGCTTTTAACTTGAGTTCTTGTGTAACCGTGTATTGAATAATTTTAGCCATTGGTTAACCTTCGATGAATTGAGGCTTTTCAAAAATTGCTGTTAGTTGGTTCAAACATACAAACATATAACACTGATTAGATAATTTCTTTTCCATACCGTAGAAATGACCATCAATTTTTTGGGGATAAACACCGCTTGATTGATCATCATAGATAAGGATGTTAGCCGGATGCTCCCTATTGTGGATCATGTGGGATAACCGGGGAGCCGTTGAGAAATGTATTGAATAACACCGGGCGCATTCATATACATTGCTAATTCTTTGAAATGCTCAACCATTTCTGACACTTCATTAAAGCCAATAGTCCAGCCTTTCTCTAATGAACTTTGGATGGCTTTATTAGCCTCATGCAAACAACAATCTAATGCATTGTGACAAGTGGAAAAATCAATATCATCTACAGAATCAAAATCGGGACTCCCGCAGATTTCAAAGGCTTCTAAGGATCAATAACTTCATACGCTGAACTATAATCATAATTAGCCATGTAAGCCGCTAGATTGTCCTCACTATCCGGTGAGTAAATATCTATATTGATATTACTAATACACCAAACATGTGTAGAATTCGTTTTCAGCTGATTTAATAACAGTATTTTTAATGCTCATTTTGTACCGCCTATAATATCCATAATTTTAATTACTTGCTCACTGGTAAGCCATATAAATCTAGGTGAAACTGATCAACCTTATTGTGAATATGAGTTAACAGCCCCAATTTATTACCATCCTTATTAATTAAAGATGAATGATTATAATGAGTTGTCAGCTTCATGATCAATTCTAACAATTGTATTAATAGCCGCCATTACATGCCGCCGTTGTTCCATAAGGTTTAGGGAATCTTGTTTTTTTCCCGGTTTTCCTTAATGGTTTTATGTGCCTCCTCACATGAACACAACAAACGGCCTTTTAAATCCGCTGTAATGGCTTGTACGGACTTATCGAGACTACAGCCTACGGTTGCTATGGTTTGAAAATTATCGTAGTAGCTTTTGTTCCTGACAAGCAATGACCACTGAGGCAAGTTGCATTTATATTTATAAGTTATGTTAATGAAAAGCCCGGTTTTATTTTGTAAATAATAATTACGCTTTGTTGTGAGCAAAGTGTTTACTTTCCATTCTCCCGGTAAATAAAACGCAATAAGTTGTAATTTACTAATTGTTGATTCTTCCATATGTTAGCCCTGAATTTATTTATTCATTTAAATAATCTTTCAATAGGATTCCACCGGGGAACCCTACAGGAAGATCATTTACTAAATCTTTCTATATAAATGATAAATCTGTCACCATATAAAGGTAGATTCATGATTCTTAAACTTTGTTTCATTTTCACAGTTTTAGATGCATCCCTTTTGATAAATGCATTTTAAAGTTTTCAACACTGTGAAAAACTTATTTCTGTCAAGGTCACAGTGAATATGTAGTTTCAGCACTTCGTTTAACAATGTAGCCTCACTTTCATTAGTTTTCAACTAAAAACCATTCTTTATCTGTGAATGTGTTTTTCATTTATTAAACCTCTCTTGATAATACAAGTAAATGGTGTAGCATATAACTTCATTAGCCTCAAATCTGAACCTTTCCAAAGCGCCCATATGACATAATCACCTATTTCTTGAGGTTAAATTTTCAAACCATACAAGCATCCTTCATTATTCAATTCCTTGTTCAATGTCACACTCCCAATATTTTATTAATTTTTTCATTTAATAAGTATTCATAGTTGACCTGTTCCATAATGTATTGCCTTGTGTGTAAATAATTACTTTCATAGTTCCATTTGGAACCTACAGCGACATTCCGCGCTTAGTAGCTTTTATCATGTCTTCCTTGAATAATATATTATTAATGTAAGCATGTTTATTCGTGAATAGTTTCAACATTGCAACCATCAACTAAAACATCATCATATGTTAAGTTAACATTTAAGCTATCTTTAATTGCATACCAATTTTCACCGTTATCGCGACGATTTTAAATTACAGATGCGTTTTGTTGCCTTTAATTTTTGGGACACTATTTCATATTTTGCCTTTTTAACATGTTTTGTAAGTAAAGGTAAGCTTTCCATAGGATTCTAAGGGGAACCCTACAGGAAGATCATTTTTCAACATTTATAGTCTATTTTTTGATGAAAATCAAATAATATTTTCCTTTTCAACACCACAACATTTTCTTAATTTTGGCATTTCTAGCTATTGGCCTTTGCATATTTGCTAGTCGCTCCAGTTTACTATCAATATCTGCAATATCGCATGAGTTTAGTGCGTTTAACTCATCTTATAAATTTCATAATGGTAGCCTTGTGTTTAAATTGACTTACTACAGGGGAACCACTGGGAAACCATGGGATCCCCTGAATGTAAATCAACTCGCCAGCCTGAACTTGCCCGGATTGCCTTTCACAGTTGAGGATCCATGCTTTGCTTTGCGCGTATCTCATCCATTGAATAGGCTTTTTCGGTTAAATGATTTCCATTCCTCCGGTCTGAAATACCATGCTTTTTTCTTTTTAGCCCACTTGCAACCAAGTCTTTTAAAAAGTCCTTGTGTGGTTTTGTGTCGCCCGTTATCCATACCCAATTCCCACAAACTTCAATCTCAAGGCCGATCAAGTCCACTATTGCCATTAGGAAATCATTAAGTTTTTCCGAGTAATCATACGGGCTTGCATCGTCGGAATCGTCGAAAGTGACATCCTTATCAACCTTGCGAAGCGTTTCATATGCTTCATTGATTGCCTTCATCATTTCCAAGCCTGCCGGGTTTTTATCAGGATGATACTTGATGGATGCCCGTTTATAAGCTTTCTTGATATCTGCCTGTGACAACAGTACCGGATAAGCCTAGTAAATTCATTGCGTCATTAATTCTCATAATAATAAATTCCTGTTTTGTAATAATGTTTTAATGTTTCAATTGAATTGACCTAATGCGAGCCAAGTTTCAATATCCATTTAATAGATAATGACCATCCAATACCATTCTTTATAATTTGTTTAGCTTCAAATATGTCCACTGGAAACCTTCATTAATTATCGCCCGGATCTTTTTAATCTTCAATTAATCATTATAACGCACCGCCGAAGACCGTGAATAACACTGTGGACAATGGGAACCAGCAAATAAATCATTTTTCCCAAAGTGGCGTTTAGTCTCACAACCTCTCACAGCCGCCACATATTGCAGCACTAATTAGATTTCGCTGCTAGGTTTTTGTTTTTAGCCTTTCTGTTTTATATAGGGATTCTTAAACACCGTAGAAATTTACCTTCCATAATTAAGTTAACCGCTTTCATTGCTTCAGGCTGTGAACCAACCCAATAAATACCAATTCCATTAATCTTTACTACAAAACCATTTTTAAATTGATTGAATGATACTCTCATAATTATTTATTCCAATATAAATTTATTTAATTACATATGATACTAACATACATAAAAATCATATGTAATCATTAGTTACACCAATTCCCTGATTTACCTAGGGGATTTCCTCAGTGGTTCCAAGTAAGAACCCAATCGAGTACCGACCGGATTACAATGGAACCACCGGGAGAACTAGGGGAAATCAATTAGCCGCTTATGTACCTAACACCGGAACGATGATCAAGCTATTGTCTGATTGATTCACTGGGTGATTGTCTGGGTGATTCACTGGGGAACCACTGGGAGCGGCTGGCAAGGCCGACGGGCTGGCTGGTTGGGAACCGCTGGGAATTTATATAGATTCCATTGGGTTACACTGGGAGGCGTTGGGGACGCAATTCGCGCCATGCCTCTTTATCAGCCCGGTTTTACTCTATAGGGCTTTATATAGGGGACTCAGTGGGAGCGTTCGGGGCTGGCTGGCGTCCGTCTCAAGTGTTCCCGTTGAATCCTTTGATGAACCCGCAGAAACCGCTCAGAAAGCCCCAGACTTAACCTATTAGCTAA